AAAATTATTATATTATTACATAAATATTAGATATAAAAAGTACATACAAAATTTTAATTAAACAAAACAGTTAAATAAATTAAGTAAATAATTTTAAAATTTATATTTATTACTTGAATAATATTAATAAATATGATACTTTAATTCTTGTTACTTATTTTATTTTTTTTACAATTCAAGCATGAAGCTCGTGTGAACAGAAAAAAACTTGTTAAGAGTACCGCACCCGATGCTCACCCTAATGGCAAAAGGTGCAGATCACCCCCTTAACTCACATATTGGTGGCAAATCACCCCCTCAACCCATTTCACGCGCATACTACCCCCTCAACTCACCTGCAGTGGCAAATCACCCCTTCTTTAACGCCGGCATCATCTTTCTGTTAGCTTTTAATAGTCCGTTCACCCACCCCTCTTCTGCGTCTGATGTAGCATTTTTTTTCCTGAGATGGACAGACCACCTGGACAAATCATCCCAAAATCATCAAATCAACCAAATTTCTTGGCGGGATGACAAATGATTTGCAAAATCCCTAAGGCGCAAGAAATTGAGAATTTGTCTGAGGTTAACAAAAAGATTACAAGTTTGATTTACAAAGCCAAACTGTGAGAAAGTACACAAGACTCACGCTTTTGAAGTATTCTTTGAAAGATTACTGTAAAATTCAGGGGAGTTCCAAATTCCTCTGTTTTACAATTTATCACATGCACCAGCTGCGAATCTACTGGAAAAAAACGCTTTCTTTTGCCGTGGATTGGACCCACAACCTATCACTTTCTCTGATTTTCCCCAGTCTTCTTTTTTTGATCCAAACACAAGTTTAATCCCTGAAAAAAGAAATAAAAATGGAAAAAAAATGTTTACAATGCAAGAAAAATACCTCAGACTTAGTTTTTAAAATTTTAAAAATATTATTTTAAATTTTTTTACCTAATATTTTATTAAAAAATATAATTATTAAAAAAATTTGTTGTTTTTTTTCAATCTTGCCGATAACGTTGGCATCAGAAAAAAATATGAATTTTGTATTTTTTTTTTAAAATTTATATTTCTTTAAAATGGTGAAAATGAAGAGAATTTATTACCATCAAGATAGACAGAACCGTCGGAATTGAATCCGATGGACCCCGGATAGCTGCCGGAGAGCTTCAAAGGAAGAGGGGCGCCTACGGTTAGTCCTACTAAGATCATCACTGCATCGCCTTCAAGCTTCATTTCCTTTGATTCTGAATTCGCCTTTGCATTAGAATTTTCCTGTATGAGTTTGACCTTCTCGCCTTTCTGGTCGTCATTGCGGCCCCGATAGAACAAAATTGTGATCTCCAAATACGCCTGTTGAGGGAAAGCAGAGTTCCCCAATGGCGGCCCTGGTAACAGTGTTCAATTTTTTAAAGGACGAAGAGGGGAAGAAGACGATAGAAGCTAGCAGAAATAAAACCATGTTTTCATTGATGATTCAGAGCTTGACGAAGAAGCCATGCTCGAT